CCCAGGGTGTACCACGTGAAGGTAAGTCTATCGCACACCCTGGGATAGAAACATGGAAAAATAGTAATTGGTAGATCTGGCACCCAAATGAAAACATTTTATTAGTTTTACTCAGAGGCATTCAAGAAGAAGTAATTAATACCTCCCTCATGATGCGAATTCACGATCAATTCATGACTAAAATTAATTTAAACGACACATTAAAAAACACAAAATGTGAACAAACAGATAAGAAAGGTGCTAAAAAGAATGCGTTCAATGGGGACTATTTATAAATTTACTTGACTAACCAATAAATCGCATTTTCTTCGAAATAGGGGGCTAGAAATTGACTGAATTAATGGAGGTACAGTGGAATTAATTACGAGAGTGCATCCTTCACAAAATAAGAATAAAACAATATGTGTTGAAAAGGCTGAGAAGGCTTTGAAGATACTCTTTGTACAAACTTAGACGTGCCTATTTTGATTGTCTGAAATGGTTTTGCTTACTACGATTCTTACTGCAGCCACAGGAATCAAAGGGATCACAAATGTCAATAATTTCCGAAAATGAGAAAAGGAAGTGCATGTAGGACCAGTGGAAGCCCCTATTGAGAAATTACATTGAAGTGGAAGGGGGACATGAATGATGGGCTGGTTTCTTCCTCAGTTGTTTTAAGCATTCAAGTCTGAGCTTAGGAGTCCAAAAATCGATAATTCAGTCTATAAGGAAATGGAGAAGTCCAACCTGATTCGGCCTCCAGCCCTAAAGGCATCGACGGAATTACAGTGTTATTAGAAATCCAGAAGACAAGTAATGAACTGCTATTAATTAACTACTATATATGTCCCCCCCCCCTTGTGAAAGCCAAAGTCAACTAAGGGGCTAATGATTAAAATCATAAAGCCTACCATTTCAAATAATAATAATAGTGATAGTTATCATGAGCCCTTTAGTTTACTTCGAGCTTCACAAAGTTACAAGACATCGAGAGGGGGAATAGAAGAGGGATTCACAAATGTAGTAGTGACAGACAGATATAAAGGCAGTGAAAAAAGGTAAGATGAGTATTGTGGAAGTGGCCGAATATGACATACAGTCGGGTCATGGTAGCTTGAAGTCAGTAGTCAACTGTCAGTTTATAGACTTTTTTGCCGTGTGAGAATACGGTGCCCAGGGTGCACCACGAGGTGTTAAGTCTATCGCGTACCCCATAAGCATACAATAAGAATTTAATAATAACTCATTGAATGCAAATTTAACATTTATTAGACATATTTTCAAAATGCTTCACTCATATCGACCCAAAATAATAGTTGAATGCGATGAATCTGGATACTCACATATTCAAATAAATGATTGTTGTGTTGGATACAATTATAGTTGATTTATTAATTTACATTCACCTCAGTTAAAATTTCATGTTTGGGAAATACAAATCTAGCAATGAGCATACTCCAGGTGTGCGTATTGTATAGCAGAGTAATTTAACACCAAAGCTTTTCCGGGAAATTTGTTAACTTGAAATACTGCCTTTTAATTGGTTGTCCTGGTGGTGTGAATATTTGGTGCTCTGTGATTGATTGGCCTATGGTTTAAATACGAAAGAATGTAGCGAATTCAGTTACTTTACGATGTCTGCAATCAGAAGTTTGTGCTGCAAACCAAAGGAGAAAGATCCGAAAGAAGAGGAGGAGAAGGTTGAGCGTAGCGAATGGAGTAAACCCATCCAGTTTATTCTCTCAATTATCGGCTATGCTGTGGGTCTTGGAAACATTTGGCGTTTCCCTTACCTCGTTCTTACCAATGGTGGTGGTACGTGTCTCTTGCTTTGCCTTACAATTTTTGGGCCAATCGCCTTACCAGTGCTATTGTGTATCATATAGTATCTGAAGGTAGTCCTATATTAGAGGCATATAGGGGATTTTGTTTGAGCGCATATTTTCGACATAATAGCAATAGTTAAATCAAAGTAATGTGAAAAGAAAATTCTTTTAATATTAGGATTTATGAACTTCCATGGCCATCGCGTTAGACACAACTTAATAAGGGTTTATTAATCTGCGTAAATTGACTCCGCCTACATTTCTTAAATTAAACAATCATTCTATTTTGTTAATTTAGGTGCCTTCCTCGTTCCATATATTACTTTTATGCTTTTCTGTGGTATCCCCTTCTGTTTCATGGAGTTCACATTGGGCCAGTTCTCTGGCCTGAGTCCTGTTGAAGCTTTTGGATTTGCTCCGCTCTTCAGAGGTAAGATGGAACTTATAATGACTGCATCTATGTTTTCCTGTTTAATTTTTTTCGGGATTTTGTGCCTTCTCTAGGTCTTGGGTGGGCCATGCTTCTGGTATCTGGCATGCTCTGCATTTACTACAACATCGTCATGGCCTGGGTTGTCTTCTACTTTACCCAATCTTTCAGCTGGAATCTTCCATGGAAATCCTGCAATAATTCCTGGAATACACCCAACTGCTTCACATACACCGGAATGGTAAACAATCTGCGTAGAGTGAAATCACGAATACAATTTACCATTTTAACATACACTTTTTTTTAGACCAACATGTCTTCGATTCCTCCTAATTCTACTAGCTCAACTATGGAATTTTGGAACCATCGAGTATTAGAGACATCACCAGATATTAGTGATTTTGGTGGAATCAACTGGCATCTATGCGCTTGTATGGCCGCTGCTTGGGTTCTTACCTTTCTTTGCCTCTACAAGGGCATTAAGACCAGTGGTAAAGTGGTATACGTCACTGCTCTCATTCCCTATGTCTTCCTTACAATCCTCGTTGCCCGTGGTGTGACACTTCCTGGTGCCGACATCGGTCTAAACTTCTACATTAAAGCCGACTGGAAGCAGTTAAAATCCATCACAGTCAGACCTCAAAACATAAAATTATTCCCTCAGAATTTCTCTTTTATATTTTCTAAATAAAACTTTTTCTCTACTCCACAGATTTGGACACGAGCAGCTGTGCAGGTCTTCTACTCTCTTGGTCCTGCTTGGGGCGGTCTTATCACTATGTCCTCTTACAATCGCTATAATCGTAAATTCAATTGGTAAGTCTATCAAGTAAAAGACAATGCTCGAAACTTCTAAACAATTTCGACTTAACTAGACTAGGCTGTACTTTCAATGTTATTAAAGGTAGTGTAGAGAGCCAAAATCTGCAGCATAAATATTAACAGCGAAAAATGATAAATGAGGACAAAAAGAGAGAAAGTGTGTGTTATCAGGTGTACAACCGAACAAAACAGCACTTTTTGCGTTGTTAAAAGCTAGTGTTTATAACAGAAAACAATTGAAATCTACTTTTGTGTTTAGAACTATCTTACGATTAACTGTACTTTCAAGTTCTGACGGCTTTTAATGCCGAAAATGATATCCTCGAGCCACTACTTTAAAAGTCCGATTTAGCACTTATTGTCTTTTAGTGGCATTAAGAATTTATCTCGAGTACGTAAGTAGCTAGTAAAGAGTCCAAGTACACCTACTCGGTGATTCAAGTGGTAAAAATTTGTACTGAACTTATTTTGACACAATTTTTATGAATCAGCAATGATCTTCTAAACAGAATGGTAATGATAAATTGATCAACTTGTGGCGTCACTAATGCGACGAGCAACGGCGTTGTCGATTACATTAAGATGTACTTATAATAGAATATCACTTGTATTATAGGGACGCCTTCATTCTACCCATTGTTTGTGGTGGAACAAGCATCTTCGGTGGTTTTGCAGTATTCCCAATTGTTGGTCATATGGCCTACCAAATGGGCAGTACAAACGTGAGTGCTCTAATGAATACCGGGCCTGGTCTCGCTTTCATTGTCTACCCCGAGGCTCTAGCCCAAATCCCTGGTGCACCCATCTTCACCGTCTGCTTTTTCGCCATGTTGTTCACTTTGGGTCTTGACAGTCAGGTAAGTTGAATTGTCAATCCTTAAAATAAAAATTTACCAGCATTTGGATAGATGATATAGAAATGTCTACCCTACTTTAGTTCGCAACACTGGAAACAATGACTAGTGGATTCATGGATCGTTTTCCTAATACAATTGGTCGTCATAAGACTCTCTTTACTCTAATTGTTTGCATTGTTCAGTTCTTCCTTGGCTTCGTTCTGGTTACCAGAGCCGGGGGTTACTGGTTCCAAATTTTTGACTGGTATGCTACACCAATTAGCATTGTTTTGATAGCCACATTGGAAGTTATCGCCATTTCTTATGTCTATGGTAAGTAGCCCATCTTACAAGTACTTCGAAAGAGTGAGAGTATGGAATGGAACGTTTAATGATATTTCGTCTTCAATTAGGTGCTAGAAGAATGCTCGGTCATGCGGAGACAATGATAGGCAAACAATCAAAGTTTGCCCGACTTTTCTGGACCACAATTTGGTACTTCATCACCCCCTGCTTCACCTTCTACCTCTTTGTGACCGTCATTTTGGACTACTCGCCACCATATTTCACTAATGGCAAACCTTTCCCATCATGGTCAGTGGCTTTCGGTTGGTGTATAGCATCAATTTCTATGATTCCCATTCCACTCTATGCCATACGGGAGATTTGGAAACGTCGACACAACCTTAAGAGCGTAAGTTGCTCTTTTTGCGTAAATATTAATGGGTAATTAGAAGGGGCGTAAGTTTTTTTGATATGAAATGTTGCTGAAATTAAACTCAAACTAATTAACAATACTCATTTGCCTTAACCATGATTTCCTTCGGAAAATCTAGTTGATCCAACCAATGGAATACTGGACTCTCGCTTGTGAAGCTCGCTTTCGTCAGGCATTATTGAGGAAGGCCAGAGTCGAGGACATGGAATTGGGTGACGCCGGAGGCGTTGCGCAAGAATAGGCGATCAGTGGCCAATCGTCCACGTTTAGTGGAACAATAATTGGAAATAACTATTTATAATGTAAAGTAAATAGTGCTTTATTGGAACATCTATCCTTTTGTATCATCTGTAGTCGCATAACATTAATTTACAGATAATTCAATAAACAATAAAGGTGGAATAGAAAATTTATGAGGAAAATGCCAAAGTATTTTAGGTTCGGGTACCTAAATAATTATTCAGTTATTATTATTATTATTTCTATTAAAATTTCCTAAATACTTGTCTGTTAGGCGAGATATCCCCCCCCCCAGATATAACCAATCATTTCCCAAATACTAATAAATGACAGGCTTTGTGGAGCAAGTAGACCTGAATTTGGTTGCATAAGTGCGTATTAGACAGTTGGAGATGAATCAAGGTGGAGGGTGTGAATGAGGAGGGGGGAATCGGAAGAAAAACGATATTAGTGGTGATGGTAAATAAATTGGACTGAACGAAATAGGCAAAGAAGTTGATCAATTTCGCATACCTAGTTCTTGACAATTTCGGAAAAAATATGAGTCAGTAGGAGAAAAACACGTAGAAAATCAGGGCAAGAGTCAAAGGGTGTTGGTACTCCACTTACTTAGAGAAAACTGAGTAAATTTGATTACTAATATTCACGGTTACACACTGCTCATTGCCTAACAGTTGCAGTATTCAATGAGTAATAACTTGATATTAAGCGTGGCTACAAATTACCATAGCAACTCCAAGTTACAGAATGGCTAGAGAGAACGCTGAAGGTGGGATAAGTACAAAATTGAATATATTTCAGCATACGTTTGCCAAGATCAAGGTCTCGAATTATGTTGCCTTTCGCGAATATCTTGTGCTTGGTATGGACAACCATTCTAAGTAAATATTGGCCAATTAATTAATGGCATACAATTTTCAGCCCAGAAAAAGTTTTTTTCAACACTACTTTTGGAGATGAAGCTATTAATAGGACTGCTTGCCATGATTTCGATATTCACAACTGTAGACCCTGTGAAGGGCACTGCCCCTTTCTACTTACTAGGTGATAGTGGCTCGAAGATGTCGTGGTTTCCATCAAAAAAGAGTTCTGGGGTGAACTAGGAAGCGAAAAAGCTGTAAGCTTCTATATAATTACTGTTGAGCCTATTAGTGTACTCTCCAATAAGTCATGGGTATAAAATACGTCTCAGTTGTATACTAATTCTGCATAATTAATTGTATGTTCACTTAATTGTTTTCATCAGAGATCAACTATTTAGTCATGCTATTAATGAAAGCGACAACTCAGATGGCTGTTCCTTTATTAACAAAATAAGACCTGCTACGTTCCTCTCATATAATCCAAATTTTGCTGGTTGGGCTGGTAATTCAGGAGCTCTGGGGGAGAGAGGGAGAGATTTAGCCCCGGACTTGCGCTGCAGCAAATCTTGAGAATCCTTGCCGAAATCAAAGGTATATAGGCGTAGATATTGACATTGCAAGTCGATAGGTTCGATAGGTTCCCCTAACTCGATTTATGCGTAGGCAATATGGAACCAATGCGGTTACATACATCCAATTAGGTTTCGAAAGAAACGGCCAATTTACGCGTATTGGGTAAGTATTTGGCGTCCGGTCATAGCCAGCACGTGCTTCGTGCCAACTACTTGCGCACTAATTGGGCAGATTCATTCGTAATCAAAGTTCCTGGGTGTAAGACATTTGGGCGATCTAGCGAAGCCTGAGGAATTATTTTTGCTCATTTGGGGTCTGCGATAGACTTAACTTCCTGTGGTGAACCCTGAGCGACGTATACTCATACGGAAGTTGATTTCTGACTTCAAACTACCATGACCCGACTGTATGTCAGATTCGAACCCTTCCTCAGTACTCATCTTACCTTTTCTCTGCCTTTATATTTCTCTGTCTCTTATACATTTGTGAATCACTCTTCTGTTCTCCCTGTCGACATTTTGTGACTTTGATGTTCCTCCCCTCTGTGAAGCTCGAAATCAACCAAAGGGCTAACCATAAATATCATAAAGCCTGCCGATTGACATGAATAAAATTGTGCACATTTGGTCGTATTTAGATGACCATTAAAGCAGTGCAATTTCATGAAATCACAAGTGACCCACAATCTTTGGATATCTCTTTATTTACACGGCCGACATTTTAGGCCTACTCTCCGCCATTTGAAAAGATTATCGAAGACTTTTGGTGAACAATAAATGTTCTAAGCAAACAGTTATTAAAAGCAACATCTGTTTTCATATTGACTACTAGCAATCTTTGCTCCAAAGATAAGAAACATAAAAGAGCTATTATTTTAAAGGGGTGTGTGATAGATTTACCTCCACGTGGTGCACCCTGGGCAACGTATACACATGCGGCAAAAAATCTATAAGCCGGCAGTTGACTTCTGATTTCAAACTACCATCATCCCACTGTATGTCATATTCGTCTACTTCCATAGTACTCACCTCACCCTTTTTCTACCTTTGTGTCTGTCTCTTTAACATCTTTGAAACATTCTTCTGTTCCCGCCCTCCTCTCGACTTTTTTTCACTTTGTTTTTCTACCTTTGTGTCTGTCTCTTTAACATCTTTGAAACATTCTTCTGTTCCCGCCCTCCTCTCGACTTTTTTCCATTTGATGTACCTTCCTCTCTGTGAAGCCTGAAGTCAACTAAATGGCTTACGATAATCATCAAAACGCCTGCCATTTGATTTAAAACTATTATTTTAAAGAAAAAATTTGGAGGAGGAGCGTTTTCTTCAATCATACGCCTTTTTCTTTGATAGAATATATTTGGCCTAAAGATTTGAGAATGTGGAAATGAACATTAACCTAAGGTATTAAAATACCATCTACTAAAAGTCTCATCCGAATAATTTCAAGTGGATGAAGTTGTTTGGCTGGTAGCCTTTCGAATAGTACACGACAGCTGTCTTAATAATCCAGTGAATTGATTTATCTTAGAACACATGAATGCGTTTCGAAATATCGCATTTCTCAAGGGATAATATGTATTGGAGACGTAGTCGAATTCTTGCGGGGTAAATATTTTCAATCAGTACTCATGTCAAGGCGTAATATTATTAAATAATGGAAATATATTCACAATTGAGATTTTGAATATCCCTTAATTATGTCTGCTGTAGTTTCTTCACGTTTATTTTACTAGCTTATTGGCATTTTTCATGGTAATCACCAAGCACCGTTTTGCGCCTTACTGGTTTGTGTGAGTTCCCTACCTGAGAAACTGGGACATCTGACTTGGTCTGTGGAATGCTGAGGGAATTATTAAGTAGAATACTACTGGGATTTTTCGAAAGTCCGTTCATCTGAATAAGCGCCTGCGGTGAAACATTTTACTTTTGCATTTTCACGGTTTTTTGGTTCCAAAAATAGTTTCACGAAATGGAATTTTCCGTTTAACCGCCCAGGGGAGATTTTCGGAAAATTCCGGTACATGTTAAAAACTTTTAAGTTATTTGGTGATTTGTAGTAAAGTCTAGACACCTTTTCCACGTGACATAACTCACACATCTAAACAGCCTTAACTCTTTTTATACCTAAGTCCCAAACACTTATACGAAAATGCGCCTTTCAAATTTCAGTGCATTCAGTTTTATTAGAATATTGACCTAGCGTTAGTATAATATTGGCATCAATCATCAACTATCCGAATGAAATTTGTTGGAGGTAATCGATCAACTATTCCATGCAATCATCTGGACACTATGCCCAAATTGTAGCTAATAGTAAGTAGCTGACGAAACAGGTTCTTAAAATTAGATATTCAGTCTCTCTTAATCAGCAAAAATATGTGAAAACAACAAAGTCCTCAGAACGGAGATCTAATTTTTGTTGCATATCCACGTCTAGAAATGTGGTTCAGTCACATGGTGACATCTAAATTCGCTGAAGAGTGCGCCAATAACTGAATTATTTGGCCACAGGGTTATCAATTGTCTCTTACATTCTAAGTGTATTGTTATTAGCTAATCATTCTCTGTCCCAGAGGGGTCTATTGTGCAGCTATTGCTATACTATTAAATAATTAGACACCTAAATGCACTGCAGTTGTGGCCCAGCATGCAGTAGTGCATCCGAAACACAATTAAAAGTCGAATAATTAGTCCATCGGACAACTCAAATTCTTTAAAGAGAGCATTACAAGTCTTTGAGCAAAAATACGCAAAGATGACAAAGTCACATTAAGGCATTTGAAAACATGTTAATAAAAAAGTAGGAGTAGAAATAATTCGTCAAGAAAAAGTAGAAGTAGCACATAGAAGAGAGAAGGTAAATATTAAACGTAAAGCCGATTTGTTCCTGCCAGTTTTGGATCAGTTTCGGGTCTAAAAATATAAAAATATGATCATTTCAGCAGATAAAATTTCCTATTTTTAGTTAAATGCTTTTATAAGTTCCAGCTTTTCATAACCATTCCCGGAGGCCAAACAATTTTAAACAGAAGGCATTTCATCAGAAGTCTGTTTCAGGCTTGCATCATCCAAAGTGACACGAAGACTATATCGATTGCCAACCTCAACCGCCCTTATTTGAACCAATATAGAGAGATGTTACCCAGTAAAAAATTATTCCTAACTCGACAGACGCTTACTTAGACTACACGCCATTGAAGTATATCCAGTAGTTTATAAGTTAATTTAAAGTCATAAAGCCCGAATTCTACCGAAAAAAATTATGCCAAGAAAGCAGCGTTAAGATTACAGCTGCACATGATGCGAATAAAGTGTTTGGAAATGAATTGAAATAAACCACCACAAGGAAAGTCAAGAAATTAAAAGATAAAATGGACTATGTGACTTACTTAGAGGAATTTGAGCAACACTTCACAAAATCTTCACTTTCATTAAGGCAACAGTAGATGGTCTCTAGCGGACATGCAATGTAGAAATACCAATGATATTCACCGTTATTTTCTACAAATCGAAATCCATCACAAATTGTATAATTAGCTAAAAAAAGGAAGGTTGAACATTCATTG